CCCAGCTGAATCCAGGACAATGCCATATGATACCAGTCAGCAGTTGCTCTAGGAGTGTTTTGTGGTAATGATCAAATTATTGGATGCCATAGATGTTAAATATCTGACTTTGAATTCTTTGCCTTGACGATGGAGTACCATGTGGTGTTCTGACTGTGGACGTGTCTGATGTTACACATGTACCAGATACTGTGGCCTGCACCAAGGATCGGAGATTCAGGGAGAGTTTTGAGCTTTTGCCCATGAACAGTTGTCATTGCAAAACAAAACAAAACAAAACACAAAGAACAGAACAAAGCAAAATATGTGTGCAGGTTGAATTCTTGTGCCACAGGACTGCAAATGTGTGTGCGCCTGTGTCCCCCGATGTATACATACAGCTCTGCTATTTGTGCCACAGTGTAAAACTGAAAGGTTTTCTGGCAGAAGTTGTGTTGCAGTTTGGATTATTTTGATCACTGAATAAGTGTTCATATTTTATGTGCTTCCTAGAGCAAATAATCTCAGAACACACGAAGAATGATTTGGTTTTTGTTTAGATATTTACAATTGTTAAAACAACCTGACAGAGCTGTGCATGTATTTCCTATGACACAATGTAATGCTTTGAGGGCAGAATCAATTCCTTTTAGCAAAAAGCCTTTCAAACAGGAATTAAGTAAAAGGTTTTAGAGAGAAAGAGTACATGCAGCCCTCCTATACCTATCCTGAGAGAGTGTAGTGCAGCTCTTTCACGATCAAAATTTTGACCATGGGCTCTAGCAGTTGTTGGGAGCTCCATGTGTGGACTTTCAGCTTCTAGGCCTGTGTGTTCCCTGTCCCGGGTGTTAGCCCCAGCATCTTCTCTTCCTCATTGTGCCTGAACCATATGTTTCTCAGTGTTTTATCTGGAATTGTTGATAAATTTGAACCAATGTAGCTCTACAGATATAGGCATCAATGCAGATACTCTTAGTCTAGCTTAAGAACAGCCTGCTGTAGGTGTGCCTGCTGTAGGTGTGCTTTTATCTGGTCCTAAAATAATTAATTTAAATCCAAATAAGTCCAGTTTTAACCAAAATAATCCACAAAGCATAATTTTAATTATCTTTTTTTTTTTAGTTTGTCAAGAAAGTATTTGAAAAAAGTAAGTCAGCACTGCCAGGATTGGTTATGGGCTATTTTAATCAAATTATGATTTTATGAAACAAAAATTCACATCTTTTTGATTCTGTGTTTCCCAGTGTCATATCCATGACATTGCTGTGTTTATGTCAGAGGATGTGGAGTTTTATAAGAAGAAACAGGATAAGTCTAAATAGTTGGGAAGTCATTGTGTATTATCAGATACAAAACTAGACTAAGTAATGCATTTCTATTTTATGGAGCCATAGTACAATCTGTAGAAGATACAGTAGAAAGTATTTGTAGAAGAAAACAGTATATGCTACAAACAAATAACATCTGCATTACAATAGACATGTTCATGCCCACTATGTAGATCTCTTAGGGATAAAAAAGTACAATTGAGAGATAATACTAGTGCAGTCCTATTAAAAACAACCAATTTAGAAATAACCAAAGAAACCTTCTAGCCTTTGAACCAGGGTAGCCATAGCAGTAATAGAAAATACATGTTTCGTATTTAATGCTGACATTCTAGTATACAAGCAATAACTTCAGAGCTCCTGACTGTTTTCTTGGCAGGGTAGTAAGGCACTGGGCAAAGGTGAAGATGAAACACGCCATGAATCCCCCTTGCATTATTACTCAGCACTAACTAGGAGTCTGTCTTCTGGGATCTTCATGGCTTATAAGTTTACCTTGTATCATTGTGGGTATATAAATTATTACATTGAAAAAAAAATCCATTTGCTACCCTTTTTGCATCTTAAATTAGGATATTAAGTGACCAAACAGTTCTCATCCTGTAACTGTCCTGGATACAAAGCTTTTTATCTATCATCTGCTGCATTACATCAATATAAAATATTTCTTCTGTGAGGAAAAATGAGTAATAAGGCACATTTTGTAAACATGTATACATGTCATGCACACACAGTTAGCTACTAGTCCTGCAATAGTGGGACTACTAAATGGGATTACTCGCTTGCGGGAAATTGATGGTGTGGATATTTGTTTGCTGGATCAGAACATTAAGGAGGAATTGTGAATATGATAATGAACTAGATTTTTTTAGCATGTTGTTCTGGTTTCGGCTGGGATAGAGTTAATTTTCTTCCTAGTAGCTGGTATAGTGCTGTGTTTTGGATTTAGTAGGAGAATAATGTTGATAACACACTGATGTTTTAGTTGTTGCTAAGTAGTGCTTACACCAGTCAAGGACTTTTCAGCTTCCTGTGCTCTGCCAGGTGCACAAGAAGCTGGGAGGGGGCACAGCCAGGACAGCTGACCCAGACTGGCCAAAGGGCTATTCCATACCATATGATGTCATGCTCAGTATATAAACTGGGGAGAGTTGGCTGGGGGGCAGTGATCGCTGCTTGGGG